CTTCAACGAGGATGGCTTCATGCTTTTGTTTTCGTCTTGCCTGTGGATGTGCCGGGACTCGCCGTCTTTGAGTGGCGAGGAGTTGCCGAATCGGTGCTTGAGCGAAGCTAAACTGTCTCACAGAGAGCAACCACACCGATTAGCGACACCGACACGGATCACGAAGCAAACAAAGAAGTGCGCACTGCACATAGTTCGCACTCAAGTTTGTGTTTCGTCGGTATAGAGAGCCTAGATTTAAGAAAGGGGGCAACTGTTGATCAGGGTCACGTGATTTGTGGGCCGCGTTTGTAAAAGGAGATGCAGCCTTCAAGGAGTCCAAAGCGTTCACCATCTGGAAACCTGTTCGCCCCTTTGCCCGGTTTTCCCTGCCACGTTGGCCACGGGACAGCCTAATCTGCCTGGAAAAAAAAAAGAAGAAAACTTTATTTTCAATAAAACGGCAACCTTAGTCAAGGTTGCCTGAAAAGGCAGCGCCGCGTGGTTGACCAGGGTGAGTTGCTCTTTAGCTCTGGGGCTATCCAGCCAGTTGCTGCATGATGTGGGTGTGGGGGAAGTGGGTGTCTGTCATTCAGTCGCAAATGTTCTCCATGGTTGGAGTTGCTCCCTCCTTTAAATCTAGGTTCCCTCCGTCATCTCCTTTGGTACGTTGTTGCCACTCCACAACGGCTTCTCCGCCTGTTTTGCAGAGGAGCCACCTCCAAGATAAAAAGCGGGGAGCGGACGGCAATGCAGAGGCTGCCGTTGACGACTTTTGTAGCACATTTGCAGCTTGTTCTGCTTGGCTGTGGAACAATCTGCAAACTTGCCAAAATTTTCTAATTTTAATTTTTTTTTTCTTTTAATAGAAAATATTTTTTGCTATATCTTCTGAAGCCGCCCGATTTCCTTCAATAAAATCATACAAACGGGAATGAAAAATAGTAATCGCTTTGCTATAGTCGCTATTTCATTGTAACCGACTTTGTTATAAACAGTTGCAACAGTACTTGTAATCATTGTAGTCAGCGAACGAACTGAGCGTGGCCGCGTGGTGGGACTGTTCTTCTTGGGCATCGAGCTTCTATAGACTGACACGCGGGCTTGACACCTTGGAGCTGCGGTGTCGCTGCGATCACGCCAAAGCCGGGTAGTGTGGGCAGAAGGGCACGCGTTTTGCGTGGGCGTCATAGCATTTCAGCATGCCGCAAAGCTGTGTAGTTGTTAATTACACCGAAAGGTACAGGCAAGTAGCGGAGTGTGTTTCCGCAAGTTCCCGGCGGACTCTGAAAAGAGGAGAAGGGGGACAGTGTCTGTGAATCGAAAATAATGGTCGCCTCGCGTGGACGATTTTTTCTGCGGCAAGCACTTTCTTGAAGGCAAGTGTGGCTTCCAGTTCAGTCTCCGTTCCGAGGCTTGCTTATGTGCAGGGAAACCGTAGCTTCATTGAGACCACCCACATTTTGTTCCCACGGTGTTCGTGAACAAATCACCGGGCAAGCGCCCATCAGTGGCTCGCTACCAGTGTTGATGGCAACGCATTACAAGTAGCAGCTTTACCATTACCGCCTTACTTTTTTTCTATAACATAGTAACGTGTTCTTTACTTTAAGACAGTAACAGGGAATGTACTCACATTACTTATTTCGAATAACGCGTAACATAGTTACGTTGCTCGTTACATATTCTTCCCAAGACTTGGAAGATGATTTTTGTTTCATGCTTTTATATTTTATTTTACCTTCAGCCCAGACACAGTCAACGCTACGAGCTGATGGGACCAATCGGACAGCGTCAAAAGCACACTGTACTAGTATTTGTCATGTTCCTGTATGTGTTCTTATTGAGCTGAACCAATCATAAACAAAAGACCCAGTGACTCGCTTTTTTGACGCTGCTGCTTGATTGACTCCATGTTCTCGTCGCTTCGGCTGCTTCTCGACAAGCTGAAACGAAGTACATGCACCAAGTGAATAATTATCGCACTCATTTTACCTACCTTCAAAATTTTGCTTGTCTTTTCCCCGTGCAAGAAGTCCCACTTCGGAAAAACTTCAACCCCCTACGCCCCTTGTCCCAGTGTCGAAAACGCTGTCGCCAAGAAAAACCCTTCAATTTATAAATAAGACTAACGCAAAAGTAACGTGTGTTACTTTTTATCGGTAACCATAACGCTTTCCTTTTATTTTGAGGTAAGATAGGTCGGTGACGCTTTGCTTCTATTTGCAAGTAACAAGTAACGTATTCCGTTACTTTTTTTCGGTAACGCCTACAACACTGCTCGCTACGATGTGCTACCAAGCGGAAGGAGACCAGGGGCAGAACGGCGTTACCGCTTGTCGTGCCTTGTGGTTATGAGGGTAAGAAAAATATTATGCCTTGACTTTAAGGACGTTGTGCTTATTGAATCAATTAATAAACACACTTCCGCAGACCCACAGTCTGCTGATCCACTGTGCTGATCCCACCGGACTGGCAGCTCGGAAAGCGGCTCAAATTGTAGGCCTCAAGATACCTGTACGCCTGCACCGCGTCTGCCGTGAACTGGCTTAGTGAAAAAACAAAATAAACAATGTGAGCCGTCTACGTCGGGTGGCAGGAACTTCATGTCACAACTCCAGCAGTCCTTGTTTACGGTATACAGATCCTTGAAGGCAATGCCATCCACGCACTGTTTGTCTCATACCGCTGCCATTCAGGCTCGGGTAGCGATCTCAAATAGTTGGGCATACCATACGATATATGTTGGCAGGAAATACGACGCACAAATACAGCTAGTAGTGTCTCTACAACGTCAACAACTAGTGCACGCCACACAACGGAATCGCGAAAACACAAAAATCCTGGCCGAAAAATGCGCGTGCGCGGCCTTCTGGCCGTGTCGGTAAACAGAGCCATACCGTGTGTCGGTCTATAGGTGACTCCAGCAAAACCGACGCCGCATAGCGGCGATGCTGAAGAGCGGAGGTCATTTTGACTCTGTCGTCTGCTATTGCAGCTTTGTTCTCGACAAACATTGTTTCCAGTAATTAATTTTATGCTTTTGCTGTGCCGTTTCTACACACCGACTAGAAGAAGGTTTCTACCATCGAAAAATCGCTTTGTTTTCATGTGTAACACCAATTTTACGCTGTAGTACAAGAAATTTATGATGGTCTGCATGCTAAACGAAGAAAACGACCTCCTTTCGTTTGCCATTTTGCCTGAGCAGCGTACCCCCTGTAGTTCACTGGAGTTGCGAATTGGCTCGGCCCTGTGTGCGACATAATTCCCCCGTGTTTCTGTCTAAATTCTCCGGCTCCACATTTCAAAGTCGAGGGTGCTGCGTCGCACACAATGCACTCTGTGTCTTGTCTATGAAAAAAATGAAAACAATTGTTTTGTTTTTTTTGGTAAGAAATTTGGGGCATTTTTTTTTTTTTTGCGGTGTTTCATTGCGGGTTATTGAATTTCGACACTGCTTCTACGAATTCCCTTGCTAGGCCTTCAGTTGTAGCAGGATAAGCCCCCTTGCTTCTCTGTCCCTAGCTAAACACTGTTCTCCCTTACCCGGTGTCTCATTGGCACGACAAACGTGCCGAGCCTCAATGGGCCACCACTTCTGTTCGGCGATGTCCAGTTCGGTCTGCTCCTTCCTCTTCCGAGAGTGTGTGGGAACGACCAGAGCACGTGGCGCACGACTTCTGTCATGGACCCCTTTCGAAAGTGTGCCTTCCGTTAGAACCTGCGAAAACCTCACACAATGGCATTTACAAATGTGCGTCCTTCGCCTTCGGTTATGCCACAGCTGCCTGAGCCCTTGTACGGTAGGATCAAAATTTGAAGCTACATGCTAGCACCGCTCGCATGTTTTGTGACGTTGTTCGGCAGAAGAAATGCGATTACATTAAAGGGCAACTTCGCTTAATTTCAAAAATTTTGAGATAGTGGCCGATTTTGCTTTTTGAAGCACTCAAAAACAATCCCCAATCCTTTGTTTTGTGAAAAATAAAATATTTTTCGTGTAATTTTACTCTAGCCATGATCACAAACCGAAACCGAAACGGTGGCAAAGCCGGACAACATTGTATATTCGGCATCACTAAGCATGTACACCCACGTGATATACAAGGGGAAGAAGGAGCTCCCCTCTTATCAGGGTCCTCCTTTGTGCCTCCCGGCTTTGCGCAGGCGTCGCCATTCTCCTCCCAGAAGATTATAGAAGATTAACCTGTCACTCAAAATTCTTACAAAAGCAGCTTCCCTTTCCTCCTTTTACTTGGTGTTCAAAAGTATGCGATATAACACAAGCCGCGCTCAACGAAGCGATCGGCTTATCAGTAGTATCAATAGTCGAGCGCCGGGCCGGCCGAGCGCGTCACTCGCATCTTTCGCGGCGCTGGTGCCACCCTTGCTCTCCCAGGGAAAGAAAACAAAATTGAAAAAAAAAAAGAAGCTGTACATGCTTGATGACGTCGCGGACGTGTCGGGAGAAGGAATTTGGAGGAAGCGGAAATGCAGCCGGTCAGTGTTGTCTGGCCCGCACGTCTCACACAAAACCAGCGGATTCGTGCTTGTCAAACTTTGACAGCGATTTTAATGAACTTCTAGGCGGAATTCCGTCGTAATATTTGCCATGGGGGTTTTGTAGGTGATAACAAAGAGAACTGTATAGTTTTGCACTACTGGAAAAGAAGCGGAGTTGCCCTTTAAGTAACCGTCGCTTCGTGACCTTTTCCGGCGCAGTAGTTAAGCGTCGGGCTTGCAATCTTGACATTGTGGGTTCGTTTCCGCTTAGAAAAAGTTTGCAATTTTATTTCTTCTCAGCTCATCCACTTGCAACACTCCCGCACACGTGTGACCGCATAACCGAGCAAAAGATTTCCGGGGGTGCTGCTCAAAGAATTGCATTTGAAGGGCTGCGGGACCCCCTTGTTGCATGGCCACCTACTAAAGTCCCTTCCCCTTCCTTAACGGAACAGTTCCGTGGGTACAGTGCAAAAGTAAATAAAGAGTTTTGTTCTTACTGGAATTCCCCACAGACCTGGGGCGCATGTTCCAGCTGGTGTCGCGCATCCTGGACGGCCTGGGGGAGCTGCGCTGCCTGCTGGAGGAGCATATTCACGCCCAGGGCCTGTCGGCCGTGGAGCGTCTGGGAGACGGGGCCGCGCAGGAGCCCAAGCTGTACGTGTGCACCCTGCTCCAGGTGCACCGCAAGTACAACGCCCTCGTGCTCACCGCCTTCGGCAACGACGTCGGCTTCGTGGCCTCCCTCGACAAGGTCTGCTTTTCGGGGGCCATGTCGGGGTGCCTACTTTTGGGGGCGCATTTCAACGGGATTTGAGATTTGTGTCGCATCGCGGACAGTCCACGAGTGAGCTGCGCTTGGGGCATTGGCGCTCCATTGCCTGGTTTTCTTCTTGGTGCTTAGAAAAGAGCGGGTACAACTGGCAATTGTTGCGATTTTGAAAATACAACTTTTCGAGCTCTGGATCACGGTGTCAAGAAGGTCGGGGGACGTCGGTTTACTGGGTTGAGGACTGTAAACGCAGAACGTGCTTTTGCGAGTCGCTTTCTGTGAAAAAATTGTCACATACGAGCACCGTAATGAGCATTGCAAACAAGCAACATGCTGGGAGCATCACGGACGTTGAGGGGGCACTAAACCGCTTTCTGCGATAGTCTATTTATGGTCCCAACTTTATCTATTGGCTCAAAGCATTCTAGAAGAAACAATGAACATCACATTTATGTGCGGCCGATTTCTCCATTAAAATTTGTGTCAAGGATCGATTACCTTGGAACTATCGCAGACACCGGACGGCACCGTCGCACGAGGAAGGATTCTCGTGCGACGTTGAGGTTGCTTCTGGTTTGGCTTCGGTCATACGTTTACGAATTTGCGCGATACAGGACGTGCGTTGGGTACTCGCTTGGTCCTCGAATGCCCGCGGTTTGCTTCTACAACGTCCGACGCTCTGCCGTTTGATGCAGGCCTGCGGCAAGTTCATCAACAACAACGCCATCACGAGACTAGCCAACTCTTCGAGCAAGTCCCCCGAGCTCCTGGCCAAATACTGCGACATTTTACTCAAGAAGAGGTGGGCCACTTTGAGCCTCTCGCGAGTTTTAGGTGTAACGGCGAGGAGTTTTAGTGGATGGCTTTGATGTCTGACAACAATACTCGATACTCTGCCGGTGCCTTTTGTGCGTGCAGGCTATCGCCGTCGGGTGTCGTTATTGGGCTTATCGGGACAATCTACTATAAAATCCCTCCCTGCTATATGTGCAAGCATGAAAGTTTATCCTTGGGCATATTCCTTCAGTTCTTGTATTGGTGGGAAGTTTCTCGCAATTTTACTGCTGCCTTCCCCATTTTCTTACTTTGCCGATGGCTACTGACAAGCTAGCCAAACCCAGAGACTGTCCGAAAGGTTTTCCCAAACGTTGCCCTTATGCCTATTGCAAATTATTTTGTCTTTTTTAAATTGTATAAAAGGGACTTCTTCCACTGCCCATTGGCAAATGTAAAGCGAAAAGGGAAAGCTTACTGCTTCGCAGAAAAAGATTTCATATTTTGCCCGATGCATTACAGTAAGCTCAGTAAACAGGATAACTGGGCGAGTTGGTATGGATTCATAACGGAACAGCGCGAATTTTCGCAAGGACAGAGGAAGGAACTGGACAGGACAATCGCTGCCTCGCGAGCACAGTAAGCTCGCGATTATTCAAACTCGGATATTTCATACTTCCGGTTAATTCAAACAGATCTAAAAAATTTGGTTGTCTCGCTATGTTTTTAATGTATTTATAAGCCGCTTAATTCAAACAGCGTTTTCGCTTAATTCATACTTTTTTGTTCTCGCAGCCCCGTTGAGTGCGCTTCTTTCCGAGCACCGGTGCACCGCAGAGAAGCAATACCCGCGGAGCTTGTTTTCGCGAGTGTTGCTTCTCTGCAGTGCACCGGTGCTCGGAAAGAATTGCACTAAATGGGGCTCAAGCAGGCACACAGCGGAAAACGGCATTCACGTTATGTGCTTCAAGACTAGCAATGATGACCAAGACGACACCGAGGATGAGGAACAGCTCACTGGCATCTTGCTTTCTGGCCTTGAAGCACATAATGGAAACGCCGAGCTGGCGGAATATGCTAGTCTTGACGACGATGTGTGTGTTTGTCGTGACGACTCACTAGAGGACCTAGGAAAGTAATGCCAGCACAGTGCAGCAGTGAGAGTAAAGATGATGATGAAGAAAGGGATGGCCCACTACCAACTGTCACAGCCGCAGAGGCCTTTGAGCACATCACTCAGCTCCGGAAGTTTCTGTCTGCAAAGGAAGAGTCCCATAAAGAGCGACTTGCGCTGGCTGGTATTGAAAGTTTTGTTTTGAGATCTCATGTACTGACTAAACAGTCCACAATCGACAACTTTTTTGCCGGATGAATAAACTTAACGTCACAGTTCTTTCACCAATGTGTTACGCCTGTACTTGCTTATAATTAGGCCTATTTAGAGGAAACTGGCAAAAATCTGCTTTGTATGTGTAGGTAACAGATCATAATGTTGCCTAGTATCATATTTAGATGAATTTCTGATAATTCAAACTTCTGGTAATTCAAACTAAAATCTGTGAATTCCTGGAGTTTGCATTAATGAGAGTCTACTGTAGATACATCGTGAGGTGAAACTATTGTCTTATCTCCTTTCTTTTTTTTTTCTTTTTTTACAGCTCCAAAAATCCAGAAGAGTCTGAGCTAGAAGATACTCTCAATCAAGTGGTATGTTTTCCTCGTGCCTCTCTGAAGCGCACCTATTTTGTTTGGTGACAGTAGCTCGAGTAATTTGCGTGTCCTTACGTACGTAACCAGGATGGCGTCGGAATAGTATACTGGGCATTTCTTAAAATCCTGGCCAAATCCCTCATGCAAAAAGTGTGCTTTGTGCAGAAGAAAAGGTTGTTGTTCTCTTGGTTTCTGCCAAAGGGCCTATTGAGGAAAAATATGAACGTTTGGTGTAATTGGTCTCTTAATTACTTTTAAGTAATTATATTTTAAATTGATAAATTAAAAAGCATGGTTTCAATTTGAAACTCTCTCTGGTCATCATCGGACACCACTAAATCGGTGCACGTTACAAAACTTCGAGACATGCGCAGCATTTAACGGGGTTCCTTTCTTACGACAGTGCCGAAAGTACCGTGCTATCAGCTGCTACTGCTGCTTAAATTGCATCAATCTCATATTGTTTTTGTTTTTTTTCGATTTGGATTTGTTTTTGCTCTCCTCTTGCAGATGATAGTTTTCAAGTACATAGAGGACAAGGACGTCTTCCAAAAGTTCTACAGCAAGATGTTGGCCAAGCGGTTGGTGCAACACATGTCTGCCAGCGACGACGCAGAGGCCAGCATGATCTCCAAGCTCAAGGTCCTTGCTTCCTTCCTTAAAGCGTTGTATAGTGCCGACCGAGGATCGGGCAGCACTGGATGGCTTCTGTACTTTGCTTTGCCTTGAAGGCTGGTTCACACATTTGCCTTGGGCTGTCGTCAACTGCATTGGTACCACTTGTAGCCACTTGCCGTAAGAAAGTACACCGGTGCCCTCTATCCGTTAGCCCCAGGGCACTTCAGAGCTGCGTGTATCATACTAAAAGCAGTGCACAAGCAGTGAGGGACAGAAGAGAATGCAGACTACTGACTCCCAACTGATGTATTGTGCAATAAAGAGGAAGACTGGGCATCAGAAATGAAACACTCACCACAAGACAGAGCAAAACAAGTGATAAATGATTGAGTTTTTTCTCGAAAGTAGGGAGCAAGAAGAAAGAACCACAAATGGGAACCCAATTAAATTCAAGAAAAAGAAATAAGAAAAGAAGACAAAGAAAAAGGGAAATACGAAGAATCAAATAGGAGGCCAGCATAAATCAACCTTTGTAGGCATTGTAGGAAAGCTACTTCCTTATCACTTGAAGATCAAAATTTGGCCAGCCTGGTGCAAACCACCCCTTGCTATCTTGAGTGATAAGGAAGTAGCCTTCCTAGCCAACGTGTACAATGATTGATTTAAGCCGTCCTTGTATTTGTTCTGCTTACCGGTACTTATTTTTTTCTCTTCTTTTTTCTTTTCTTGAATTTATTTGGGTTCCTGGATGTGGTTTTTATTCTTCCTCTTATCTTTCTAGCATAACTCATTCATGTATCATTGGTTGTCCTTTCTTTATGGTGCGTGCATTTCTTTTCTGTTGCCGCATCTTCCTCTTTATTTCACTGTACCGTATTTTCCGGGCTATAGTCTGCGGACTATACATGTTTAAAAGTTGAAATTTCTGGCTGTGCGGACTATCTACGCTTGCGGACTATACAGGAATTATGTTTTTCAAGATCGTTTATTATGACGAGATGTGACGAATTTTGTGCACGAAAGTGTATGTTAATGATGATTTATGCACATTATAGGCTTTATTGTGAGCTAAAAAGCAGACATTTGTAAACGTGTGCCGTCTATGAGAAGATTTTCGTGTCGACTAAGCACCGGGTGTGGACTATGCACCGGATGCGGGCTATGCACCGGGTGCAAGCTATCTAAGCAAAATCTTTTTTTTTTGACCCAAAATTTCCCCCTGCGGCCTATACACCGGGTGCGGACTATAGTCCGGAAAATACGGTACATCTGTTGCGAGTCAGTCCTCCTTGTTCGCTTTTCTTCCTCACTGCTTGTGCGCTGTTTGTAATATGATGTCATCTTACCAACTAGCTCAACATTTTACTTTACTAAGAAGCTGCGTGTAGTATCTTACGCACCATTTTTCCAGGGTGTGCCGGATATAGCTCCGACGGTGTGATACTCGACCGTGGCTCGTAAATAGTGCATACATTTGATCCTGCAAATTCCGCAGAAGCTCCGGTCTAGTTGTGCGCAGATCGGAGGCTGTCAGGGCTACCTGATACGTGGATATGTGGGGCCAGTGTGCCAGCGTGTTGTCTCGTTGTAGGCAGTTACAAGCAGTCGCAACGCAGTTGACGCTGCAAGCGGGTGGGGTCAATCGAGAGGCGTAAAAAGTGCGTTCATTGTTTTTGCGGTCATCCCCGGCTAAACCAATTTGGAATCTGTGCGCGTGGTTTTGCATGTGTTCTAGCCTTTGAGTGTTCACTGACCTATGGTGAAATGAAGCGTAGTTGCATTTGATTTTTAGCTGTTTGTCGGGGGCGTCTTTGTTTACCGCTCCTTCGGAGCATTGTCTCATCTGCTTGAGTTTGACGTACCCCCATTCGTAACACGTGGCTTCTGTGAGAAGAACATCTGAGAAGTAATCTGGTGTCAGTTTTTGCCTAACAGATGGTATTTGTAAGAAGAAACTTGCTGAGCACCGCAAATGCAGCGCCGTGCAGATTTTGTCGTATGCAGACGCATCGATTGTGATTGTAGCTGCTTTTCGTTTTTCCTTTTGCTTTTGTGTCACGAAGCATGCAGTATTCATCATCACTTTTTCGTGTTCTGCCAGGAACATTTTCAGCGCCCCGAAACAGAGCTAACAGGTCGTGCTGCGGTTGCCTTTTATCACGTATGACACCTGCACATTAAATTGGTCTCGAAAACGGTGCAAGCCTTCCCGCGGAGGTTTTTATAATATCATTATTAAACTTGTTTTTTTTTTAAAGCTTTGAGCTTGAGCATGCGGACACTTTTTGGCACTGACTTTCTGAAAGGAAAGAGGACTAGAGTTGCGTAAACGCGAAGAGAATGTGAGTGCGTCGGGGGAGGGGTCTCCCCGCCCTGCCTGACCTCCTGGCCCCCCCCCCCCCCCCCCCTGGGTTTTGCAGCAAGCCTGTGGCTTTGAGTACACCTCGAAGCTGCAGCGCATGTTCCAGGACATTGGAGTGAGCAAGGACTTGAATGAGCGGTTCCGCAAGCACATGGCAAACTCCGAAGAGGCCCTTGGATGTGAGCCTCCGTTTTCTTTTTTTCTGACACTGAATGCGTTGTACGGCTGGCTCCTAGCCATCTCCTGTGACGGAATAGCAGAAAAGTTGATTGGACACGCTGCATCAGCGTTCACCTGGAGCTTGTGCACTTTCTGATTGAGTCCCTGCTAAATGCTGATGTGGCTCTTGTCTGTGCAGGAAATCTGTGCAACAATAATGCTGAAAGAGTGTGCTTCTTGACTTTGGTTCATGGGAGCTTTCTTTTCTTTTTTCCCAGTGGACTTCAGCATACAAGTCTTAAGCTCAGGGTCCTGGCCTTTCCAGCAGTCGTTAGCCTTCGCACTGCCCCAGGCGGTGGGTGGTTTTCCTTCTCGCTTCCTCGTCGAACGGTGCCCCAGTCTGGACAGGTGTTCACTTCGGGCGTGGCTGCGCTTACCGAATTGTATTCTTTGAACAGCTATTCTGTTTCAGCATTTTTGGTCTCTCTACGTGGATAATTGTAGCTCAAAAGGATTGTTGTTTGGAATGCAAACTAAAGAATGCACATGTAGCCCTTTGATTGTAGGTTCACTCGTGACAGGCTATGCACTGTGCATTGCAGTGGAGTTTATCCCAAACAGGTTTGACACTTCTGTGCCACGTCTTTAACATTCTCGGTCTAAAGTGTAACTTGTTAAAAGATACAAAACGAAAGTTTGGGGAACTCTATTACCCGGTGTCAACCCCTCCCATCTTTCATGTATACCTTTTTGGAATTTTGTCACCAGACCTGAGATTCTCTTAGAGTGTGTGCATGACGCGTCTGTGGCGTCCTGTCTGTGCACAGCTGGAGCGGAGTGTGCAGCACTTCACCATGTTCTACAGCAGTCAGCACAGCGGGCGCAAGCTCCACTGGCTCTACAACATGTCAAAGGGAGAGCTCATCGCAAACTGCTTCCACAGGAACCGCTACACCCTGCAGGTAAGGCCCCCGGGTGTCTTGCGTCCATAGGCCCTGCTGCAGTATTGTCGAGTCTCAGCAGTACGACGAGTTGACGCATAGTACAGCAGTACGACGTGTTTAGCCCAAATTGTGGGAGCATGACCTATCGTTACAATTGGAGGGGGCACTAACCTTTTTACTGTGCTGACTGTGGCTGTCGGCCCGTCTTAAAAAGTAGAGAGATTTTAGGCAAGGGCAGAGACCGAATGGCTATAGTCAGTGACAGGGTAACTCTTTCCTGACCGCGCCCATATACCATCAATGACCGGTGATCGATGGTTTCCGAGCGCCGTCAAGAAATTAAAGTTAGTGCGGAGAATTATGTTCCACAATCTCGTGGGCAGGCAAAGAACTGTAGTTTCAGTTTCATTGTATGTTTCAGCTTTATCACAAGGTGGTGGGCTGTCAAAAATAGTCCTGGGAACGGTGGTTGCACTTGTGTTGCATCGCTAAACTGCTTGCATCCGTCTTTGTAACAAAGATGGCATTGATTATTTTCATAATTCAACTGTATTGTGGGATATTTTTTAGGCCTCGACAGCTCTGGGGACTCTTTAAATGATGTTATAGGCGTCGTTCAACAGATGATTGTCGGTAAGCATCGCTATAATTTCCAATGCTGTCCTAAGCCAGCGTGCACGTTTTATGTTTCCAACAATGCGGACAGAAATGCTCAATATAAAGGAACTGCAATCAAGGCTCTGACAAACGAAGGTAGAACACAAAGAAAGCATTCTGCTGGGAATATGAGGTGTACTATCTGCATTTCACCAATGTAAGCATTTCTTCGTTGGAAAGCACATGCCTTTGTTACAGAGATTAACTCTCCGACGAACCAGAAAGACATTAGAGTACACAGACTTTGAGAAGTAATAGCCGTAGGTGTGGGGCGCATTTTGTACATTCTGAATTTTTCTTTTAATTTGTCATTTAATCTGGATAGCTGTATAACTGTCGGCGCTTATACGCCTTCCGCACATACGTTATAATTTCTTACAATAATATTACAATAGCGACGGTGGCAAGCACACAACCAGTATGGTCTCCGCCGTCACTCGTAGATCGCGGCAACCTTTCCAGTTAAAATAGAAGAAGGGATAGTTGGGCGCGTTGGTGGGAATTCATTGTAGGAAACAGCGCGAAACACGGTTGACGACGAAGAAGCACACATAACGAGTGCAGCGCTCGTCCCGTTTGTTTCTTCGTCCTCGTCTGTTTTGCGCACTGTTTCCTACGCTCCTACGCTCTTATCAATTTTGGTTTGGACTCACGATGGGTCGGCCGCGCACCCTTTTGGGGAAAGGAGACGAACTGCAAAAGGAGCGGCGACGTACGCAGCAGCGCGAATGGGTCCGCAACCGCCGCAAAGCCGCTGTCGCCTCAGCTTCCACTGCGTCCAGCGCCTCAGATTCCCTTGCCAAAGAGCACATGCTCGCCTGGAAAGCCGCCGCCGAGAACAGAACCAGCGATGTAAAGGGTGCCGGCGGGCCAATGCCACGGACGACAATCGTTCCACGGAGGCGAAGCGCAAGCACAAGGCCCGGCAATGACTGCACTCCACAACGGCTGAACAGTTCCCGGCTGCGACGGCGAGGTTCCGGAGGGAGTTCGTGGAGGACCCTTTTGGTGTCACGTGTGCCGTGTGCGACCGACTCTGGTTCGCCAGAGACGTATCCACGATCGGCGGCGTGTCGGACAAGAAGAAGCGGGAATCGGGCGCATGCGCGTTGCGGCAGTGTATTGAGCACAGCTCCGCTGGTCTTCCTTCTTCACGAGAGTGGAAAGGCTGAATGTTTTTCTGCATGGAACTCCCATGGCAGAGACACTCGATATAGTGAACGAAGCACCGCTTCTCCCCCGGTCGGATTGCGCTGGCGGGGAGCACATAGCTCGCATTGCGGGGCTGGCAGATCGCCAAGCCAGCATATGTGCACAGAGATGCACAACAAAAAAGCAAATTAAAAAAAAAAGAATGTTGAAGATGGCAAAAGCAAGGGGTAGGGCACGTGCACGCATAGGGAGAGTAGGGAGTGCCCGCTGTTGGAACGGTAGTGTCCACTCTTTCTCCTTATACCGCTCGCTGTCTCGCCTTAACCCCAAAATAAAATAAGCAAAAAAAAAAAAGTCTTAGTCAGTTGAGTTTGCTGACAAAAATGGTTGAGCAATCACACTTTGAATGCCTTATCTTTGTTTACCTTTTCCTTTTGCAGGTTTTGCTGTGCCTGTTTTTTTTTTGTTTTTTTTTTTGTTTTGTCTTTTTTTTTTTTTTGCTGCCTGAATTTTGTGAGGTTTCTTTTTTGTTACTTGCTTAACTTTATTCTATGAATCAAGTTTTTTTTTTATGCGACTCGCATTTTTCGTTTTTTCATTTTTTAAAACTATTTTTGTGTTTTGTTGCTGGTGTTGTGTGGAGGTTGTGGCCAGGCGTAAACATTTGCAAACACCGTCCGTAAATGCGGTGGTGTTTGTGATTTTCACAAACTGAGTTCAACGGTATTAGCAGAGACGCACAGATATTTCAACTGGAGCTTAAGTTAACATATTCTTAAATCTTTTCTCTACACTATACCAACCTCTGTTCCTTTTGAAAGAACACTAATTGGCCATAGGTTGATGTGTCACGTTGCTCCATACTCAAATTGGTTAAAAAATCAGAGTTTGCACGGATCCTTTGAAATTTGCTCCCTTTCCCGTGGTCAGGAAAGAGTTAAAAATGCAGGGGAAACTCCTCCCACCCCTTCCCACTTGACGTGTTATGTGCCACGTCAAAGACGACAACAACTTCAACAACGGATGTCATTTCCAGTGGTGTGAAGAGCCCATGACAGGCATCGCTGTAAAACACCTCAAGTTGACACCCTTTGTTGCGTTGATTTGACAAAGTGCCTCCTCTCTTAACATTTTGTTTTCAGTCTCTCTAATCTTCATTTGCCATGTTATGCTTCAATTTGTGTATTCATTATATCCAAATTGAAACGCCACAGGCTAAATATTTGGTAATACGTGACAAATTACGACATAGCGTGTCTAACTAATTATTCGTGCCATCAGTACCTTCATTTTTTGGAACGTGCCTAAATGTTATAGTATGACAGCTTTTTGTTTTAGACTTAGAAGGCCAGTTTGGCTTGGCAAGTGTGGTACAACTGCTTACCGATGGTCTTCACGTTTGTCGTGCAGTAGTGATAGCACAAATGCCCGTCAGCATAACACCCGCGCACGCTACACAAAGCTTTCGCTTTCTCTCTCCACGCTGGCCTACCACAGGGCATGACATGCTAGGCTGCATACTGCGGACTAATTATTTTCAACTCGTAAAATATTGAGAAGTGCCCCATGGTAGCAAACACTTAGCATACCACTCTCAATTGCGAAATTTTATCCCCACAAAATATTTCCAAAACACACACTTGGCAAACTTTGTACAATGTTGAGCCCGCAAAAATAATACGGTTTATAGTAGCATCCTTCCAGTGCTGACGCTGCCCGTGGCCCTTTGTGCAGGCGTCGACGTTCCAGATGGCCGTCCTGCTTCAGTACAACATTGAGCTGTCCTTCACGGTGCAGCAGCTCCAGGAGGGCACTGCAATCAAAATGGTGGGTCGGATGAACGCACCTTCGCGCAGGAAGAGTCATTCCGCGTTTGTTGCGTTAGGACAGTAGGGTTTCTAAGTTGGGACTCAAGAATTTGGTCTGCACTGGAGCTCTTGGCACGCTGTTTCAGCACGGGAGAATTATTCGGATCCGGATGTTACCGGTGCCTCGTTCCCTCCCTAACTTTTCTGTAAATTGCAATGACTGGTTCTACACGTGCTCTGCAGCAAAATCGACGCTTGGGTTCTGTTCGTAGAAAAGTTGATCTAAACTAGAATGAATCCAATGTAATAGGAAATGTAAAATGCATGGCAAATTGCTGGGCAATTATGTTGCACGTAAACGCGTAGAGTCGATGGTTTCGGCGCTCTTTATCAATCAGTTTAGCGACCTGCTTGACGTGTGGTACGTGCACTTGATAGCAGTTCCTGGAATGGAGGTACCGGTGCTGACCTGGGCTTTAAAGACGTGCGACAGGGTGTCGAGTTGCTATCTGCCGGTTGCGGAGTGGATGCCCCGCAGGGCTTTCCCGCCAAATAGGACCTCGACTCACGCCAACGTAATGTGACGCGCAGGAAAAACAATCGCCTAATAATCTAAATGGTCTGGGATCGATTCCCTTCTGGTGCAAACACTTCTTTACTGCAATTGCCCCTCCCCCACTCCCCCCACTCAAAACCAATCGGTGCCGAGCCTCACGGCCACGCTTTATCCAGGCTTCCCTTTTGAGCTTCACAAAATGCCAAACACCTAGCCGAAGAATGTTTCACATTAAGAGCATCTTTCTTTTAAGTAACCATTTGGTTAAAACGGAGGTAATTAAGTAGCATATACTCCGTTTCATGCTTAGTGTACAACGCTGTCAAAGCTGCTGGCACGAGCATGGGGTATGGCCTCCCAGATAATTTGCATACATTCTCGCGCAAGCGAAACCATAGATAACTCCACGTGCTTGTACCAATAGCTTTGACAGCGTTGTACTAATATGAAACTGAGTTTAGTCAGATGCTTCTTGATTGGGAATAGTTTTAATCCGTCCACCATTTTCAGAAATCGCCAGTTCAGGAGGTTCTGGTATGAAAATGTGGGAGCACGTGCTCAAACGAGTGTGAGCACTCCCTTGTCTAAGGAAGCTACAAACCGTTTGCTCCATTCAGGTGCATGACCCACCCTATATACACGACTCTAGGTTGACCCATTTCTCGATTTTTGAAAATCTGAACAGTGGGGCCGTCTTACAATTTGAGCCAAAGCATTCCGCTCAGTGGTGTAGAAACATGGAGGGCCCTGGGCCCTGGGTACCAGGCGTTTCAGTCACGGGGCGGGTGCCAGCTCCAACAGCACCAGGCACCCCTTACACCCCCCCCCCCCCCCCCCCCTTTCTGGTTAGTTGGTTAGTTGTGATCTCAGGAAGAGAAGCGGGGGGGGGGGGGGGGGGGGGGGGGGGGGGGGGGGCTACGGCTACGAAAGACATAAGGGACCAGGGACCCGGGTGGCCTAGCTACGCCACTGATTCCGCTGCCGACAAAATCAAAGCAGTTGCCATGCAGAGTGCATGTTCGTTTTGCGCAGGGGTTGCGATGATGTCGGAGCGACGAGCTTTTATTGACTGTTTGAAAAAAGAGTGGGTTGACTTTGATGCGTCTAGCATTATGGCCTATCCACTATCCTTTCAATCAAAGCCAGTTGGAGCTTGGCGTCGTTCTCCCGTCACCGCAGCTCCTGCGCAAGTGTCAAACGGCTTGCTCTCCGCATATCAGGAACACCTCAGCTTGTTATTAGTTAGCCAGTTGTTCCTGCAGCATGTTGGCCTTTTCTGTGCTCATTTTACAGCTTTTTTTTATTTATCTGCGCAAACGAGTATTACAACGATTTGCAAATCGGAGCCGAATGCACTGTGGTGAATGGCACGCAATACACATCACTGCATGGCGGCACGTGGCATGTCCGAATTTCGGGGTTGGTGGCACTCGAGCTGGAACAGCCTCACTCCCCGCTGCGTGTTTTCGCACAATGCACGGTCACACATTGTTTGATTGAGTGTTGAGATTGTGCCGTTAATGGCCGTTGTTCATCCGAAAGTGGCCAACAACTGCGCCGCTGGACGCAAGTTCGACCCGTCGTAGCGGGTGGTGCGCCACTGGCGTCCGCAATGACGCAGGATCTTTTAATCGTGACCGCAGAGGGAGAGGTTTCCGCGGGCTGAAATTTGTAAACGTCCAGATGCTTTCCGGAGTTGGAAGCCAAGCTCGCAATGTATCTTGCAGAAGTGCACGATCAATCCCTACCCGCAACGATCCGTGACACGATAGTCAAGCGAGCGTGAAAGGTGCGGTCGTTTCCAAAGTGCAAGATTTCATCGGGCAATGCAGACGAGGTGTTCTGGGAATGCAACAGTGGACGACGACGGGAACGACGACACTGTTACAGGCGTAAAACGGAGTGAGAATGACAGGAAGGAGCTTCCGTTGTCTTGTCTCCAGCGCGAGCTTCCTTACTTGGATAGTGCTTCGGCATCTCGTGCGCGTACGTGCAGCAAAAGCACGCATTAAATGCCGAGCATTCGAAAAAGGCGCCCTGTCATTCCCCTCGTTCGCCATACAATTGGCCTCTAAAGTTTTTTTGTTTTTTTTCTGTTTGCCGACGTGCAATTTGGGGTGGGGTCAACTTGCAATCGAGTAAACACGTCAAATTGAGCTCCCCCAACTTCCCTTTCGTGCCTGTTGCAGCTCGTCTTTTGCCCGCAGCCAGTTCGGAGCAGTTTCTTCCCAGAGCTTACATTGTTTCATCCTGGAAGTGCTCGAACCCAGTTTCTCTGCCGGGCGGCACCAGATATTTTTAAAGATGATGGATCGATTGACGGGATCTCCACCTATAATGGGTTCAGCTCTGAATGGTGTTGCAGAGTTGAGAGTCGACGGCGTCCTCGCTCCCGCGTCTGCCCCTCTGAGCCGGGCTCATGTCTCTTCGTTCCAGGACCTGCTGCAGCAGGTGCTGCAGATCCTGCTCAAGTCGAAACTGCTGATGTGCCAGGACGAGGAGGAGGAGCTGCGGGGGGACTCCGTGGTCTCTCTGTTTGGGGGCTACAAGAACAAGAAGTTGCGGGTGAACATCAATGTGCCCATGAAGGCCGAGATGAAGGTGGAGCAGGAGGCCACTCACAAGCACATCGAGGAGGACCGCAAGCTGCTCATACAGGTGCGCGGGAGCCCTGCCTCTGCGCTAAGGGGGGGGGGGGGGGGGAGCTTTTCCGACCAGGCAACGGCACCCTCTCCCGCGTAAAGCCCCTCTATAAAATGCCCGGCGAACCGCTTCGGTACCTGCAGACTTGGGAGGGCGAGGAAGCGGTGTGTGGGGACAACTTTCTGTGGCAATTCGAAAGAAGTGAAAAGCATGCTTGCATAGTTTCGCTTGGTGCTCAAGGCTCGCGAGAGCTGGTAGCTCTCGCCGCATCGCCCCGGAAAGTTGTCCCCTCGTATGTGCGATGCTAGGCCAATAAAGAGCATGTGTCGGACGGTGGCCAACAATCGAAAGACTGAGTTACGCGCCAAGTTGTCCGAAAGTCTGATTTCTTTGCGGGATCGGCAACACTTCGGCAGCAGACACGCCGCACGCCCCGCGACACACGGCCAAATAAAGGTGGCACTGGACTCTTTTTCCACCAGCTTCTTTTGAGAGGGAGCGGACAAGCAAAAGCAATATTCTCCCCTTACTACGGCGTTCCAACAAATAGCTGCACGTGGCAGATTGGATACGGCAGTCCCGACGTCTACGTTATTAGTAGGATTCCGTGTTTTCGCAGTTTATTTCTCGTGAAATTCGGAGGGTGTTTTTCGGAGTTTATTTTCCGCTAGGGGTTCGGGATTTATGGGAGTTTATTTTTGTTAGATTCCCAATACTTCGAAATTCTAAGTTTATTTTCCGGCGTAAAATTTAAAAAATTCGAAGTAAATATAAATAAGGCTTGGGTACCATGACTTGTTGTCCCGAAGGAACTTCGACATGCTAGAAGGCAAACCCCTTTTTTCAGGGTTCTAGGTTTCAAAGGAAACTAAAGTGGAATCTCCTCAGGACCACTGACCTTATGCTTTTAGAAAGTTTAATTGTAAAACTCCGCCGTCTTTTTTGCTGTTTATTTTGCCGCTGTGAGCTCGAAATTTGGAGTTTTTCGGATAAATCCGAATCGACGGAAAATTTACCAGTGAGTGTCGTTCAGATTTGTTCGGATTTATCCGAAAACACGGAACCCTAGTTATTAATGGGAGGTGTGGTATTTTCTTTTTCTCAGGCGAGCAGTGTATTCCCATGCCCTCGGACACTTTCAAACAAAGGTGTGCTTTCTGGAGTGACGCCGCAAACGGTTGCTTGTTTTTCTCCTTCAGGCAGCCATAGTGAGGATCATGAAAATGCGCAAGTCGCTCAAGCACCAACAGCTGCTGGCCGAGGTCCTAAATCAGCTCTCGTCGAGGTTCAAGCCAAGGGTGCCTGTAATAAAGGTGAGGCGTCTTTTAGCCACCTCAGGCTCGATTTGCGAGGCCCGTGTCCCAACGTTGAGTCGAGGTGGGACGGGCTTGTCCAGGGGCCCTGTGCTACACGACGGGACCAAGCGGGACCAAGGGACCGGGACAAATGTGTGTGCTGCGATTGGTCAGCGGCACGGCGCTGACCGATCACAGCAGACAGCGTTGTCCCGGTCCCCTGGTTCCGCTTGGTCTCGCCATGTAGCAAAGGGCCCCAGGTGACCCACCTTTTCTTGACAAAATGTAGGGTTACTTAGGGAGCTAATGGCAGAGTGTCCTAAATCATCTCGCTCATTCTCTTGCTGTGTTTTCTTGGTTACTTTTTGTCTGTGCACCCCTTTTGGTCTTGCCTGCCTTTGTGGGTTACCTCTCATGTTCTGGTGGGATAGAACCTTTAAGAAAGGACACTGCCTGGGAATGTCAACTTTTAGAGCGCAGCTTTTAGGCGCCCGTTTCCGGCTTGAGCGGCGTCGCCGTCGGCATAATTGTGAGGTCACGTGACCCCCGTGACGTCGCCGAGATCACGTGACCCCCCCCACCCTCAAGGTCACGTGACCCCCTTGAGTAGCAGGCAGGATGACGAGGTAAGGAGGAGGGGTGTACCCTCCCCTCAGTACCCTTCCCTCCTCCTCCTCAAGAGCTGCACCCTAATTCGCCGTTATAGGAAGTCGTAAACGGCTTTCATTTCTTTAACCGCTCACTCAATATGCGTGAAATTTGCAGGTGGTGTTTGTAGCCATATAGAGGGAGGGCATGCAACGTTTCAGCCCTGTGAACCAATTTTATGCAATACTATACACCCAGAATGAAGTAAAGCATAGCTTGGCATAGAATCTGCTTAACGAATCTGTCATTGAGAAATGGTGTTGATAACCACATATTTTTCTGGTGGAATGCGTATTGGAATGCCTGCTGCCAGTTGCTATAAAAAGAAATTTCACAAAATATTCATTTCTAAGGGAACATGCTACGCGGAGACGCATACCGTATTTGCACGAATATAACGCGACCACGAATATAACGCGAGGGCAGTTTTTGATGCCCCCCAAAAGAAAAAAAATATTATTACTATTATAACGCGAACCGATGCCGCGTCAATTTCTCGCACTCGGTGGCATAGCAGAAGTGAAAAGTCAATGGAAATAGAAGAAATATCAGTTTATGTTCTTACTGCACTCATCCTCACTGCTCAGGTCCTTCCGTTTACAATCCACTTGGCGACTACGCAGGTATGCAGCAGCACGGCACCTGCTTGTCTGGTAGTTCTTTTTTCTTCCGTGGGAGCTCCTCGGCAGCCCACAATCCAAACAAGGCGTGGAAGCAGAAGCACCAACACACAAACACCAGACCACTCTGGAGCAGAAACTAAACAATGCGCAGGCAGAAAAAAGACTGCTGAACCCGATACACTATCGCACTTCTTGTTGTAATCCCTCTTCGTAAACAAATGCCTCGTGTTGCACGATTGCGTAAACGCGGTCGGTGGTCTTGGCTTGGCTTGTGTTGACTTGACTTGGCCCGGCTTGGCTTGGCTTGGCTCGAATTGGCCGGTGCCCGCATTCCCGCATGGCGCGCGCGCGTTGTAAAAACACAAAAGCGATAAAAATGCTTTTTTATGTTTTCTATTCGCCCCTTCACGTGGCCCAATGGCTAGAAAATGCCCCTCCACACCCCCACTTCTTTTTCCATTGGATCTTTTGCATTGAGCTGGAGGGATGACTCTCCTCTGGCTTTCTCCAGACTCGCGCGCCTCGTGGCTGAACTCGATTCCGAATATAACGCGAGGTGCGTTTTGGAGCACGTAATTTCGAAAAAAAACTCGCGTTATATTCGTGCAAATACGGTATTTTTTTAATTTTTGCCTGTGGACAATCAAACTTAAGATACGGTATATGTAGTTCTGCTTGCTGCTTTCAAAACGGTCATCAGTTTTAATGTGGCTTATGTATAGTTTTTGTTTAGTGCCACCCAACGGAACGAAAAAGTATTTTTTGTGCGCATGCTCTGACATACTAATTTTTCACTAGCAGTATCGGGCAATAGCTCATTTTGCTCTTTATGATGGCGGTGCCGCTCTTGCAAGTTTTAGCCACTTAAAGATGGGCAAGGTTAGGAAAAACTTTCCGATTTCTCGGCCTGCCGTGAGTTGGTTAGATGCGTTTTTCTTAAACTTTTCGTGCATATATTGTTTTGATTTTTTTATACTTAATTATAGGGTGTCTGACAGTCTTAAGTGGTAACGCGTTACTAGTAACGCGTTACTGTAACTTAATTACTTTTCTGGTAACTTGTAACTGTAACGAGTTACGTTTTAAAAATGTAACTTGTAACTGTAGTTCTATTACTTTTTTCTGAGGTAACGATGAAAGTAACAACGTTACTTTTGTCGTTACTTTCCAGCTTTTTATGAATAATATATCACTGAACGAGTACAATTTAGCTATTCCTCGAACTTTCCAAATCGTCTGTTCCGACATTTCGAGTGTCAAGTTGGCCTTGCACAAACTTGTGAATACGTTCTTTCTCGCGAGTCACGACCCGAATATAGCGACGTGTAGATTTGATGAAAAAACATCTAGTTATCTTTACGCACGCGCTTGTACTTTGTGACTGAACACTTTCATCTTAATGTCTTGAGCACTATCTATGTTGTGTTTTTTTTTTTTCATTTTTCTGTGCAAACGCTTTTTAATCTGGTGAATCAACCGTGAAAGAATACAGGCGGAGGGCGCTGCGTATGTTTTGTATTTTGATTAGCGCCACTACTCCGCACTGCACATGTTTCTTTTGATTAGCGCCACTACTCCGCACTGCAGAGGTTTCGTATTTTGATTTGCACCGCTACTTGGGCGCGGAAACTTTCAAACACGAATTTCGAGAAGCAACTGCTGCTAAGTTCAATATGAAGTAAAAAGCGTACGTCTTAATTTTATGCAATAAAACTTAGTGAGGGGTGTTTTCTAGCTTTTAATAATTTTTTGTGTTACAGAAAAGTAACTGAAAAGTAACGTCGTTACTTTTTAAAAGTAACTGTAACGAGTTACTCTTTTGTTGCGGTAACTGTAACGGTAACTTCGGTACTTTTTTTTCTAAAAGTAACTGTAACGAATTACTTTTTAAAAGTAACTTACCCAAGACTTGTCTGAGGATAATAAAACATGCACAAGCAAAGATACTGAAATTTTTTAAGAAAAGGAATGTTTTTATTTGCTTTTTCAACCCACTAAAAAAATGTATAATTTTTTCTTTTTATTTATTAAGTTTTGCAAATTACAATTCTTCATAATGAAAGAACATGAAAATTCAAAATATAAGTTCATAGTAACCAGCTTCATAAAATTTCAGTCAGGGATGGGCAAAATACATGCAAATATGTATTGAAATACAAATACAAAATACTTCGTCAAAAATGTATTTAATTACAAATCTAAGTACATTTCCAAAAAAAGCATTTAAGTACAAGATACAAATACAACCAAATGTATTTAGTCTCTTCCAAATACTTTTCCAAATACATTCCTCAAAATTTGCGTTAGTGACTTCAGAGCAGCTGCAACGGGTTTCTGGGTATCTCATTTTAATTTTGCATCGCGCACTCGATAGTTAGTGAGCGAGGCTCTAGTAACGTAATAGAAATATAATCACAAAAAAAATGTAATCAGCTTGGATGTAATACGTGAAAAATGTACAGAGCTTCAAGTAACTTTTTTTGTCGATTACATTTTGGTATAGACCCACAAAGAACCGAGAAGACCAAGAAGCGCAGCACTAGCTAGATAATTTTTTATTGTTGCAACTCGCACCAGTTACGAAAATCTGGACGACCCGCGCATTTGGAATGTTCCAGGCAAAAATATGGATGAAATCAGGCTGGAAAGCATCACAAGTTGTTACAGGCACTTATTTAGCCAGTCAGCCTGTGAACGTCGATTTTGTCACTATTCTTGCCCTGGACTAGCACCGTAATCACAAAGTCACTAAACGCTTGTGCTTGATTGAGAGACACTACATTCGGTGCAGAACGTAGTTTTCTTCCTGCTCTGGACAGTGACAATAAATTTGAGGGATGTATTTTCGCCCACAAAATTGTATATAATCACAATTGTATTTGAAATACCCACGTTTTAGTATTTAAATACACGTCAAATACATTACCCAATTTGTAATTAAATACAAATGCAAAATACACAAAGTATTTGAAATACGTATTTCAAATACTTGTATTTGAAATACTGCCCATCCCTGATTTCAGTATATGTATAGGCCACAAGTATTAAGTCTCTCTATAGCTTCACACTGAAACTATAGATTTATTAAGTGAAAGTTATGCCAAAACGTGGAACGGAAAAAAACAGATTTGAAATGTTCGAACCTCTGCCTTTTCTTTAGCATCATGGACTGAGAATAATTTATAAAAAAAAAAAATGACTTCCGTAAAACCCCGAGAGATAGCCCACCTAAAATCAAGAAAAAATCAAGAAAAAATCGGTTGAAAATATGTGGTGGGCTAACTTTCAGTGTACAATCAAGAAAAGTTGAAAGTTGGAAGGTCATGCTTCCCTTCCAAGCTTGTTATCGTGACGAGGGGCAACGAAATAAAGATGACTGCTTCCCAGCCATCAATGATCGGGTGTATCCCGCCGCAGCTAACTAGCTGCATTTACGCGCCGAGGCCATCATAGATCCCAGCACCACTATTACTAGGAGTGGGCTATCTTTCGGTGTTTAAAAAAATATATGAAATCAAGCAAAACATAGGGGTGGGCCACTTTTCGGGAGTGGGGCATCTCTCGGGATTTTACGGTATGCAGTGTAAACAAATGAAACTTTCTAGGAATACTTTTTAGATGTTGGTGGATGTAACTATGGCAATTTCCAAAATCATCTTTTTTTTTGCAGAAATTTCTTTATTCGGGTAGTGTCCCCCCTTATCCAGGAAATGAATTAAATGAACTGTAATATGAGAAGCATTCATACAGTTTTTTCACTACATCAGTGCCTAAAGTGACTGCGATTGCGTACTGCAACTCGTTTACTAGTAAAGTGCTTGAGTCATTGATGATGTCAAGCGAGGAAAGGGAAGCTGTGGCCAAGGCACGGAAAGACTATGCAAAAGAAGCACTGTCCTTAGCCCCTAGATCATTTTAGGTGAAATGGCAAGCCCATGAACGCTACATGAACTTTCAAATGTGTTTTTCTCAGCTTTATGTTTTGACCTTTTTTTCTTTATTGTTCCAAAACTACAGTTTAATGACTAAAGTGCTTGCATACCTGCTGTGCGGTTATTCAGGAGTGAAACTTACTGGGGCACTCGGCTATGTGCTTACTTTGCAGGATTCGTTTTTTGGGGGGTTTCTTCGGTGAGAAAATTTTTCATTTTGTAAAAGATGGAAAACAAAATAAATGCATTATTTGGCATACTTGCATTATTCAAACTCAATTCCAAGAACACAGTGTTGCCAGCTCCTTTTAGAATTTTTCAGTGAAGACTGAAGCACCCAGCGTCTGCTTTTACCGTTTCCAATCGTGCCTTCTCCTTCCCGCCGCTTGCAGAAATGCATAGACATCTTAATAGAGAAGGAGTACCTGGAGCGTGCGGAGGGCCAGAAGGACACCTACAACTACCTCGCCTGAGTGGCAAGGGAGCGGCAGCCGGCCAGAAGCCACCTGGGGCGCAAGACCCAAGAGAGGCACCGAGAGGGAGGAAAGCCCCCTCCCCTCCCCCAGGGTGCAAACGTCGTTGGACCAAACTTCGACCTCGACTCCGAACCCTGCGGTTCCGGTGCCTCGAGCAGCAGAAGGCAACGGAGGATCACGTTTGCTGTGTGACTGAGGGGTTTTCTCTTTCTGCGAACTGTTTAAAGAAGAAAAACAAACTGACTGTTGGTTTCTTTTTTTTTTTTTTTTTTTCCTTTGGTTGTTTTTAAGGGGGGAGGGGGGGGAGGCTGAGAGGAGAAGGGCCTCACACTAAATAAATGTAGAAGCTTTCGTGAGATGAAGGCGGGGCAAAAAAATGAAACAAAGAAAAATAGGAAGGAAGGTTTGTGTGTGTGTGTGTTGGTGCCAGCAAGCGTCATCCCAGATGGACCTCGGTTGGGACCTACGAACCTAGCGGATAGACTCTGGAAGCCGAGGCAAGACGGTGTCACACGACACCTCTGCGAAAAAGCAAATGCATTCATGCCATGGCCATTGATGCCCATGCCGCATCCAATTCCTTGGCACCTTTTTTTTTCCTCATTTTTTTGTTTTAGTAATTTCTTTTTATTCGCACTGTAAGTAAAGCGGGCCAACCCGAATGTCGGCGACGCATCGAACCATCCTGCGCTAAATAATAATTTAACACCAGCAACCTCGCGAGTCTTTTTCATTTTGGCGGGAAATTGATTCCGGGTATGATGCGCAATGTGCTATCTCGATCGCAGTTGAAGTACCTTCTCTTTTTTTTTTTTTTATCGACGTGGGTTGTAAGCAACTTGAGGCTTAGGTACTGTGGAACTTTAGGAGCAATAAATGATGTGCACGGGGCAGATTAAGGCAGCCAGGTTCACTGTACGCGTTGCCAGTTTTTGGTTGATCGCCGTCGTGCGGAGTAGCGAGGCGACGTCTTGCTTCCTTGCCGCTCGCGCGCTTCAGAGGTGCCGACGTGTCTGAGGAAGGATCTCGACGTTCCCTTCCTTACTCCTGTAAACAAGAAGCGGTGTTCCATAAACAAAACAAAAAAAAAAAAAGTTGCTTGTTTTACGAAGCTTGTGAAGTGTAATGTTTTTGCTCGGATGCCTACCTTGAAGATGTCGGGAGTGTTTCACTCTTCCGCCCCACTTGCCGAAACCTCGCTGGACATGTCCAGTTGGGTTTTCTGCGACGGAACGAGCAGACTGAAGTGTTCCTTTTGCGTTCAGTGTCAAAGTTCTCCGAGGTCACCGGCACATCGCTCCCACGATGCGTACGTCTTTTTGGAGATTGCTGAACGAGGTAGGTATAAAGGGCTTTGACGTAGCGTCTATAGTCCTACAAGGTAAGAACTCTGCGGATTCTCGGACGTCAACATGCATTTTTTGTCTTTGGCTTTGATTGCCCATGCGTCGAAGCGTCATCGAAGGCAAAAAGCTCGCACTCGCGGCAGTGCATCTCCTAGCTCCTTAGCCTGTCGCCAACTAAAGCAGAGCAACGAAAGGTTTCGATTTCATTACTTGGAACTTGGCAAGCGTATTTGTTGGGAAGCGCGCTCAATGCTTCGTGCTAGGTGGCATCGCTTTCCTCGATGACTCGCATTGATGCTGACTTGGCCGGAACGGCGGTCGACTTGGGATTTCGAGAGTGTTGCCAAAGTCTGTGATGGCGGCATTGTAAGACAGTCGACGCGAGAAGCTCGAAACTTGGATAGCCTGGCGTCGTGGTGCTCCCTAGCAGATTGACAGAACCGGAGGTGGCCCGCTTGCATTGTGCTTTCTGGGTTGGTCCTCGGGGGGGGGGGGGGGGGGGGGATGATTGCTCACAATACCTGCCCATGGCATTCAACTGTTTCTGGATGAGGCAAGAAAAGTGCCTATTTTTGGACTCCTAAAGCTTCAAAGCTGAATGGATTGAACTTGAATTAAATTGCAGAAGTTGTTTTTGAGAGGTTGGACACTGCAATTTAGGAGAGCCGCGATACAAGTGCTGGCAGTCGAGAACCGGACGATTATTCTCTCCTGCGTGCGATTGCCTCAACACTGGCACCAGATCCTCTTCATGATGTTTAAGAGGCCAAAGCGACTATTGGCTGCAGCTTTTCTTTTGTTTTGCAAAACCTGAGGGTTATGACAGCCAGATGAAATGGATTGTCCGTTGCCAAGATAAAAATTTTTTTTTTGGCATTTGTTTCGTTAAAGGAAAGGGACCTCTGGTTGAGAGGAAAGGTAGAAAGAGATGTGAGCCTTGTACAAGCTATTTTAATGTGATAGCTTTCTTTAGCTACCCCCCCTCTCCTTCCTCCCCCTCTGATTTCTTGGACTTTCGGCCGGGTAATGCACAGTAGACCATTTAAGCTTGCACGCCTTCACATTCGCACCCTCTTCGAAGGACCTGATGACCTTAATGTCGTCCTAGAAATCGCCCTAAAGATTCTCCTAGACATCATGTTGGACTACGTCCTTGAGGCTGTCCTAGATGAATGCCATCAAAAAATGTTTCATGATCCTTTTGACAAAAGCGGCTCGGCGGTGCATGTGCTTTGTAAAGACGTGCAGTGAAGAACTTGGCTTAAAAGTTTCAGATTCTTCTAAGTTTTCTTATTTGCCAATATAGAGTGATCTTTTGAATGGCGGTATTGCTCTGGATCAGTAGGGCCTTTGCTTTAACAAACAGAATGAAGGAAAGGCTATCATTTTGACCTTGTACCACAATAGCCTACAACTGGCACTTTTTTTCTTAACTTCAAATTGAAGCAACATGAATATTAAAGAAAAGTGGGCCACCTCGTCAAGCTTTGTGGCAAATTAGCTAGTATCGCAATATTTTGCAGAACAGAGTTTTTCTATATACTTGCATTTGTTTCATTGATAGCTTGAACCAAATGGGCTCAACATTGTACGGCAGTAGCAGCAATGAGAACTGAATCAAGCTGAGTAAGATCGAATGCGCACAGTTTTGCCCACATCCAATCCAACGTAGGTCTTGAAATGTTTGACCAACCTCTTCCCTTGTTCCCTTTTACAGCACTGGTACTTGGTTAAATTGTCTGTCAGTGGAGAGGGATCAAGTACAATCGCGTGGAAGATACGATAACCCCCGGATGCCACTACGATAGATATTGGTCTCTAACCTTTAAAAGCTCATTCCGCCAACATTAATCTACCCCCTTCCCACTTTAATTTCTAGCGAGGCTAGGGTTTGGAGCCCGAAACAACGTTGTTTTAGGATTTTATACCAGGCACAGTGCACGCGCCACGGGGAGAAGTAGTAGCTAGTTTGGTTACGGTTTGCCAGGTCTGCAGAATTTCTCTGCTTCAATCGAGAGCACCGTCAAGCCTGCTGCCAATTTGTCTGGTTTGGTGCCGTATCTGAATTGCTGCTTGTTTGCACAGGTGGTGGTGTTATTATAATCGGGGATGGTTTAAGAATTGAGTATGAAACTGAGCATCTATTGGATCCTTAACCCCATCGCCGACAGTAGAATGCATTGGTTTCCTAGTGCGTAGAGTGCAAGGTTAGTGTTTTTCTTTTTTTTATGGGTTATGTCTTCCACTGCTGAAGGCACAAAATTTAGCCATTCATCCGACACTGCCAACCTTTGATCTCCGACTGGACGGCTACCATACTTTGTATCTTATGTTCATGAGGCACCCTTGAATTATGAGACAAAATGTGTGCAGTGTTCTATAAGACGTCCTGCAATTTCTTTTTGGCTTTAGGAAGGGAAGCATCATAAACTAATATGTCACTTGTAGTAGCGTGGTAAGCACCTTTGTCGGTAGAGCTTGCAGGTTTGATGGCATCGGTGGGAAAGGTACTCAAGGCATGAGAGCGCAAGGTCGTGCAGGGAATGAGGTTTCGGATATAATTCCTGGCCATCTTTGGGGCATGTCACTGTTGATCAGACCAGTAATACACCGGAGAAACACCACTGGTCTTGGAGTTATTTCGTATGCACTGCCTACATCTATGAATTCTAGAGGAAAGGTTACCCGGGAAAACCTCAGCCTTTTTTTGGCAGGTCCAAAAAAAAGCCCACCCCTCTTGGCACACCTGGAGAAAAGCTCGCCTTGAATTCATTTCCTATGCGAACTGGTCATTATATAATATCTAATCATTAGTGCAGCCAAAGCTACACACACCGCCTAAGCAGGTGCCATATGATTCAAAGCAGGACACTCCGTTACTGCCAGTGTATTGCTTCTATGTCTGTTTTCGCACGACTTTTGCCATATTGAATTATGTTTGCAGTGCCGGCTACTCTATGAAAGTTCCTTCTTAGTTATGTAAAAGCCCTGGAGCTAAACCTGCAGCCCACTTGGTATATATTTTTTAATGTTTTTTTATTGCATTACTCGCGACGTGTATGCAAGTGGAGAATAATCATTTTCAGCTGAGCAAACTCTCGGTTCAGATTCGGAGGAGGTTTTCTCCGTAGCCATCAAATGGCCAGTGAGCTTCTCCCCGCATCTGAAGGTTTTGAGGCGAGCTTTTTTCCACCGCCCTCCACCTATACGTACCCCATCCCTGAAAGATGAGGCTACCCAAAATAACCTTACTTTTGTGAAAATATGTTCACAGCTTGTGGTGGTATAGCCAGGAATCGAGAGTGCTGGAACAAGCTTGGCTTTCCATAACTTGCGTTAAGGGGGGGGGAGTCTGGGGCTGGCTAAGGAACTGGGCATAAAGTATGGTGCAATGCATATACATGACTTGCATTGATGTCTCATCAGAGGCCATTGCGGTGGCCTTGCTGCCGAGCTCATATCTTCGAGGGCCTGTATTTTGCACCGCCAAGTGCTTCTTCAGCATGAACGAGTACCACCAGCATGGTACGGTGACAGTATGTGCAAGCCCTGCACACGCATACCTTAGAGCACACAATGCTTCCATTTGCCGAATTTTTCACAACTTATTAGAAAATTTTTTTAAATGTGCAACACTTCCATCATTTGTGAACTGACTAGGAAGTTTACCCAATTTATTGCAACTTCGGGAGACTTCCCCCTCTCTCATGCAAATAAACAACAGAAATCTGCAAGCATTTTTTTTTCTCTTAAACATTTTTATTTATTTCTACTCGGAGGATCAAACTTCGTAGAGAGGGGGATTCTCTCGAAAGTTTGATCTTGTGAGTGGAGACAAGTGAAAAGCCCCCCCCCCCCCCCCCATGTCTTTCACTCCTTCACTACCCTTGGCAGGTTGGTATAGCAGGACACTAAGAGGATTCTTGGCAGGAATCCCAGGTCGTATGATGGCCAGCACCAGTTGAAGCATGCAATGATGTTTTTCATGTTTTATTTCCGAAGAGATTACAAGAAAATAAACACTGCAATAAATCTAGCACGTTAAATAACCTTAACCTGAAATTAGGAACAAACTGCATTGCACGTCTAGACGTACAGATTGCAGCAGTGAAAAGCAGGGGTGCTAGGTGATGTGCCATTAAAATGCCGAGATACAACTTCCAGCAAATATCCAAAGCACCTTGTACAACAGATGCTGAATTATGTGCATGTAAACTCTACATTGCAACAACACTAAAAAAAAAAGGTTTGTCAAAGGTTTTAGACATGTTTTATAATACTATGTGTAAGGGATTTGTCTAACCTACCTCTGGGCTAACACGGAGCTGGAAAGCAGTGACATATTTTTTCCGAAAATGAAATTGTTTAGTGAATGTAAATAAAATGCTAATAGCATCACCCCATAGATAACTGGAGGAAGCCCTATTGAGGACAGCTTACAATAAAATCAACAATGACAAATAATAACTTTCTCCAAGCTGAACCTCTTTTCCAATCGCCTCTTAGTTTCCAACGAAAAGAAAGAGGGCACACAATGTTTCAGACCAAAGCAAACTGGCGCTTTAACAAAGTGAAGAGTGTAAATGACTGACAGTTCTATAATTGGAGGACTGTTCCATGCCATAGAAAGGCTACTAAATAATAAAAGAAATACATTTTTCTAGAAGAAAGTAAAACTATCAAGCAAGCAGGGGAAAAGATTAAAACAGTGGGCAAGAAATTTAGTCAAAGGAGCACATAAAGGGCCGAGCAGTGGGTGGACGTTCCATGCTTGAGGAGGACCAGCTGTCGATGTTGGCGCTGATCAGCTCTTCGATCACCTTTTGGATGTCTCCCGAGTGCTTCTTCAGGAGCACAGAGTTGAGTTGGTGGTTCCTAAAGCCCATCTCGAACAGTTTCTCTTGCGGACAGAGGCGGGATGCTGGCGGCGACCAATCTGAAGAACTGAGCCGACGCTGGTCCATCGGTACTCCCTGTCTTGGCTGAATTCCCGAGAAGACAGTCTTGGCAGTATTGTAGACGGTTGCGGCAGCACTAAGAGCCCCGTTGACCAAGGCTTCCGGAAGAGCATCGCCGACTCCCTCCACCTTGTAAATTTTTCTCGACGAGAAGGCAGGCTTTCTGGTTGCTTTGTCTTCAGACTCTTCTCCAGAGGCTGTGGGCTTTCTTTGGTGTTCCTCGGTTGCGACCTGAAGCGTGCTGTCGTCTGGTCTCGTTGAGACAGATGCTTCAGAGTTGGACGAGTCGGAATCGATGACCACTGGATCCTGGAACCTGCTGGGGCACACGGAATGTCCAGCAGTCGAGTCGAGTGCCTTTTCTTTCCACAACCGGTCGCCGCATCTGGGCACCTGGTCGAGGACTTCGCAGGAAGGCGAGGCACTCCCGAGAGCCGTTGCGACAGAGGAATGGACCAAGTCGCTTTCAGCGTCCGCAGTGGACTCGGGCAGGTTGAATGGTATGTTCAGGTTGAAGCAGGAAGGCAGTGGCACCACCTCAAAGTCCCCCTCAGTGTCGAGACTGCTAAGGCTGAGTACACTGGCAGATTCCTCAGTGTCGTGGTGGATAGGCATGTCCAAAATAGACATCTTGGATCCACTCTCTTCCGGTTCGCTCCCTTCGTCCTCTGACTCCGGGGACTTGCGGGGAGTCATGCCGACCGGCGTGTTGAAGGGCGTTGCCGTTTGCGACACAATCTTGGCCTTCAACTCGGCTGCCAGATCTTCTGTCTTGAGGGTTGTCTGCTCTGGGACGAAGTCGTCGTCTGGACCAGGGACAACCTTGAGGCTTGCCATGTGCTTTTGCCTGGGTTCCAGGGTCAGGGCCGGGTCCACGACTACGTTGCACCAAAGACGGTGCCCGAAGTAGCCCTGCGGGCTGTACATTCTCCAGTGGGTTTGGTAGTGTCCCGGCTCGTGGGGCGCCGTGAACTGCACCTCGAGGGTGCCCTCGGCGTTGGGGTGCAGCGGGGGCGCCTCGATGTCCGTGTCGTTGGGCATCAGTCCCAGGGTGCCCCAGCAGTACTTGAGGAGGATGCTGCGGTCCCAGGCTTGGGTCCCAGAGTTGCGGACCTTCCAGCGCTTTGTGAAGCGGGTGCCCGGCTGCACGTGGGTCCAGTCAGGGATGGTGTCGTCACACACGAACTCCGAGTCATACAGGTCGGCGTTCAAGTAGTTCTCGACGCCCGCCGTCGGCGGCCGGTAGAGGTTGGCGTCGCGCAGGTTGTACTTCTCGAGCTTCTTCATCAGCTTTTGCATCTTCATCTCCTGCTTGATGTCGCGCATGGTGGAGAGCCGGTTCGGCGAGCGCATCGGGCGGAATGTGGTCCCGTTGCAGCGCTTGCGCCGACTGCCCGGCTGCGCCGCCCCGGCCGACCTACGGATCTTGAGCATCATGTGCGAGTTGTCGTGCACGCTCGGCAGCGATTCGCATACCTCGCACAGCTCGTAATTCGGACAGACCCAGCATCGGTAGCGCGCTCCCTGGATCTGACACAGGCAGTTCCCGCAGGTAGCGACGTCTTGAAAGCTGTCGGCCACCGCCGCCGTCGTCCACTTGTCGACCTTGCGCTCGTCTAGACGCTTGAAAACCTCGGCGGTTACCTCATCCTTGAGCTCGTTCCTTAGCGTGCGCACGAAGTCGACGAACCAGGGCGGCGGTGGTGTTGTGGCGTTGTCTCGACGCCGCGGATCGCTCGTAGCGTCCACCTCAGGCGCAGCGGCGGCGGCTTCCAACCCGGACGTGGGACAATCACCACCATCATTGTTGTCGTCGTCGACGAAAACAAACTCGCCAGACTCCTTCTCGCGGTAGGATCCCCGAAGCAGCGGTCCGGAGTCGCGGGCGCTGGCCTCTGATTCATCTGTAACGTCGACCATCTGAATCTGTAGAACATTTCCCTTCTTCTCGGCAACCCGAAGGGCTTCCTGCATTTCGGGCTCGGAGGAAAGTTGTACCTTCTCGTCCTCATCGTCGGCATACGTGATGCGGACGGTCGAGTCCGACGGCAACAGTCCGACGCGATCCAATAAGACGGTCTGCACCTCGTTCCAGCTGCTGTCTCGGTTGAACGCGAGCTGGAACCGCACGGGCCGTGGCACGAATTCGACGGCGAAGCGAATAGGGCTCATGTTTACATAATTTTCGTCCTCAACGCAGGCAGCTGATATGCGCATTTTCTCGCCTTCTTGCTGGACTTCTGCCCCGTGACGTCATGATCACGGGGACGCCGCTGTTGTTGCCAACGGAAATCTCTGTTCTTTCGTTTCACTGAAGTTTCGGTTTTGTTTTTATGTTAAAGCGTAATATAACGGAAGTTTCTTTTATAACCGCTACATAAATATTCTTCTTTCTTTTTGTTCTATTTTCAGGTTGTACACTCTCGACTGCAAAATATGCCGTCAAAGATGAGTGAAAGAGACTAAAGTCGCACAAACGAATCTGGCGGTAAAACAGGGCGGAAACATCGGCGCCGGCGCATAGAAAGCTCAGACTTTCATTGAATTTGCATTGAACAGGTCAAAGAAAGGGTAAAAACACAGATAAGCTGGTGAAGAACTACCATAGTAACCACGTTCGTTGTTTAAATAAACTAGAAGCTGTGTTTAAGACTTGTTCTTGTGTCCGTTTTTTTTTTTTTTTTTTTTTTTTTATCGATCCGTGTTTTTGGTGGCTATGGAAGTTGAACAGGTCAGTTTTACTATGCGAAATTTCAAGGCGTCGTCCTCTTCCTGTAAAAAAAAAAAAAAAATAAGAGCAAAATCTTAGCCAAAGTCAACGCCGAGCACGATCGCAGACGACTGGGCCCGTACACACACTTGCGTCCAATTCGTAGACAAACCCGGTTTTAAAGGGATACTACAACGAAATTCCGGCGCTCATTTTTTGGTCTATATGTGTTCAAAGGAGCAGTATCACATCAAACATACATATATCTTGTTAAAAAGTCTCGAAACTGAATTTTAAAACAAATTAAACGATTAGCAAAGAGCGCCTGGTAGATGTCGCTAACGCCTCGCTTCTAATGCCCGTCTAGGAATTTTGACAGCTAGTGACGGTGAGTGTCTCGCCTCCGGCCACAACGAGAGAAGGGGGGAAGAGGAACTCCCCTTTTCCCGAGAATCCCTTCTGTGTGTCGCAGTAGTCGCTATTGTCCCCCTACAAGATTATAGAAAATTAACCCGTCACTCAAAATTCGTACAAAAGCAGCCGCTTCGGTGGCTGGAACGACTAGGCCATCCTCTCGAAGTCAGCCTCGCCGTAGCTTTGCTCGTCCCGAGGCGACCTACGTCATGACTGCGTTGGATGTCACGTGGTTTCCGCTGGGCCTTCTCCGAGCGCTTGCCAGAGTGGGCCGTTTATAACGAAAAATACAGCCACCAGGCTCAAAATACGAACGTGCGATTGTCATTTACGGATATTGTGGATCATATTCAACCTATTTTTGAACACGACGGGAATATTTCAAATTTCGTTGAAGTATCCTTTTACTACAATGATTTCCGGACTTCGGGCAAAAAATTGTGGAAGTTGCCCTCTGGACACTTCTGAAGTAAAGAACAGAAAACCGATTTCGCCTGCGTGTCCTAGTTGTTGCAAAAAAAGAAAGATAAAGATTGGCATTTTTGGCACCCCTCAACTCACTCCCAGCCTTCCCCGCCTGTGCGAGTCTTGCCCCCGCCCAAGGAGGCTAACATTACGTGCAGGCATCCCCTCTTCCCGTGTGTAACAACACTCAACAACAACAAACAACAACCCAGCCTTCAGGGTCACACCTGGTGCCCCTCCTAGTGACGTAACCCGGGGTGCTGTGTAGCTTCCCGTGTGCTCCCTTGGAAGATATTTCCTCTCTCTCTCTCTCTGCTGACATTAGCGGGCGTTATGCGGCAGCTTAGAGCCGAGCGAGGTCACGTAATATTTTTGCCGTAGTTCCCTCGGCTGCCACTTGCGGCTGCAGGTGGGAGAAAAAGCTTGACTTTTGCTTTGCGATTATGCAGCGAAATCGCGACATTTTGTAATGAATGAGATGTTCTATCTAACAGGACCGATAAACAACGTAAAAATGACGAGATGCAAATTCTTTTAATCTTAAAATTGTTGCACCCCCCCCCCCCTCCCCCCGTTTAAAGGGATTGTCCGGTCGAAACCGGAAGTACTTGTTTTTGCGCTCGTTACGTCGTGGGAGCCTTCATGTAGACAAACTACATTTTTATTTTGACATATGATCTCCCGTTATTAACTCAACCATTCATGAGCGCATGTACGAAACTGCACCCCGAATTTCGCCAGTGTCAATGGCTGACATCCGTAGCTGCTGCGTGACGTCACAAAACGTAAAGGTTTGTCGGATGGTCGGGATAACAAGCGTTCGTCAATGGATGTCTTGTATTTTGTTTCGAATTATATAGTCTCCTATGCCAGTGGTTCTCAAATGGGGGTCCGCGAAGGCCTTCTAGTGGTCCGCGAAGCCCTGCCCCATCAGTCAAGCCCGGCAATAAAAGTTGTCTTTTTTTTTTTTTTTTCAGGTCGAAAAGAAATGTTTGTTTTCGGGCGAGTTTTTTTCATGTGAATGCCAATAAGAGAGGTCTACTTCACACTAGCCCTTAGTTATATCCATTTATTAAATCATTATTATATTTAACGTATACCTTTCCTCTCCTCTCACCACGAATGGGGTCCTCCATCATCTCCGCCGATCCACAAGGGGTCCGCGAAACATCGATGATTGAGAACCACTGTCCTAGGCTGTACCCTACTGAAATACGGTTCTTTTATTGCAGTTCCCAAGCGTGTGGAAAAAAAGTCAGCCTTTTAGCAGGATATTACTCGAACACAGCCATAAGCTTCGAGCAAACGTATGCCGTTTCGCGCAAACACAACTGCGACGGCCACCGATCGAATTAGGAGCGCTTGCAAAGCAGAGGATGCAGATTTCGCCTCTGAAGTGGCAACTAGGTACACGAAGCGGTACCTGGGTACAAATATCGGCGGATCCACTGGAGCGGTGATGAGGCCGCGGTCATCGCCTCAGAGGCGATGACCGCGGGTCGAAGGCAACCGTCGAATCGTTCAAATGCATGTCGTCACTTGACTTGGACGAGCTTGGTGAATCGTAGCCACGCTCTATTTGCACATGCGGGTTAAACAGAATTTGGCTGCACGCGTGCTAAATACAACTTCTGGTATCGTTTCCAGGTGGTCTAGCTGTTGGTTTCGGTTTCGCTGTATAAACAAATTGATTGATCCGATTTGGGCGAGGAGTGGATGGACGTAGTTTAATGCCGTTGGCCCAGCATCACATCTCAGATTACGAGCCTACCGTCCGCTTAGAGCTCAGCTCGTAGCTCTCTTCTGTGAGATGATTGCTGCATAAGCGGGATCTCGATCTTGACGGGAACCCAGTCCCTACGCACGGCGACGATCCATTTTGCTCGTCACTGCACGTCTCGCGGAAAAGTGTGGAACGTCATGTCTTGACTCGCATGTGCTGCCCGGTGGTTGTGGCACCCAACCGCGCAACAAAAATCTCACCCAACCACGAAACAAGTCGAGCACAACAACAAAAACGAAGCACGCTGAGGCGTTCACTCGCAGGCAACGTTACTAAAACACTCAGTTGGGAAACTCGCCGTCGAAACCTGGGCCGCTGGCGTCCACCGAGACCGAGCTAAATGCGACAACAGCGCCACTCTTTTTCGTTTGTCTGTACTGTGGGCACCTCGAGCTTTTTGAAAGCCTGTTTTTGCGTAAAAACAAACGGAAAAGACTCTTTTTGTATGGAATTTATTGGAGTTTAGTACCAAATGATGGGCGCGTGATGTTTTTATCATCTTTAATTCGCAAGGTTTTGCGGAACAATTAATATTGTTTTTATACAACCTTGCCTCAGCGGGCCTTTCAGGTAGTGCGTCTTGACCTAGGTGCATTTTAACTGCGTATGTTGAACGCGGCGCGTCCGCCGGGGAGGCGGGGGTTGGCTCCCCTGTACCGCCGTATCTGTTCTTAAAGCCAAAATAGAAGTCACGTGCAGTTCCTCGAGTGGCCGCTGCGGGAGAAATGGTGGCGTTGTGTTTGTCATTAGCTCGGTGCTTGGAGACAGATTGGGGCCACTTTTTCAAAGCTGTCTCTATGGAAGTTTCCCAACTGAGTGTTTTAGTAACGTTGCTCGCAGGTGAACGACGAGACAGAAATGCTCGCTTTGTGCAACGTTGCTTTGTGTTGTGTGACGTCAGAGCTCCCGTGTTGCCACCGAAAACAGCGTTTACGCTAGAGTACGATTGGAGCAGTATAAATTCATATATTGCACATGCGATGCGTCTCTAGGCAATAACAATGCTATTCAATTGTTTTCTCGAATACGAAATTTGACCGGACAATTCCTTTAAAGGGACACTGACATCCCCCAAAATTTTTTTTTTCATTTTTTGCCAGGCGCTTTATTATGGTGTCGGAGGACTACCCAATTAATATTTTGCAACAGAGTTGCGTATTTTTTTAATAAAGCCAAAAGACGCAACTGCTCGAAACCGAAACCGAAACCAGACGGAGATCGGAGAAGTGGAGAGAAGAGAGTGAGTGGCGGAAGTCACGTGGCTACACCCGACCGTGCATTTTTTTTCCTCCTTTCCGTAGCAGACGACACGACATGCGGCGTAGGGAACGGTTCGCCGTGCGATTCTTTTGCAGTCATGTTTGTTCCGCTCGTTGTTCTGTACTCCAAGATGAGTTGTTTTGTACATTGAGGAGTTGGAGATGAATAGTGAGTGCCCGTGGTGAATTTCCATGATTGGCTCCGAAAAGAATACACCCAAGATGTTGCGTGAAGAGCTGGCTCACATGTCCTGCGTCCGAAAAAAAAAAGGGGGCATTGTGCGACAAAGTTTCCGAAAGATCAATGGGATCGGGACTAATGGCTGGCTGCAATTCCTGTAGAACATATACGGGCACCTCGGAAAACGGACGCTACCTGATTTATATGCTCCTTGCATTTTGCGGAAAGTGACTACATTGAGTTCGCAGGTGTCAAAAAGGAAATCCCATACCATTTAATTCAGCGAAGTGTCGTCCACACCATTTGTTTGTTATTTTTCTTGTTTGTTTCTTCAGCGATAATTGTAAAAAAAAATATGTAAACATCGGAAAATGTTTGAAAAAAAAAGAAAGGTTCCACGGGGGATCGAACGCGGCCCTACCGCGTGTGAAGCGGACGTCTTTCCCACTAA